ATTTTTTTTATGAACGTATAGTAAAAATTATTTTCCGATAGATGATTTTATTATTTATTACTTTCAGTCCTATATCATATTATATATTATACAAATTTAATATGCTAATATTTCGTAGTTTCCGTGAATTTTACGTTTGTGTCCATTTTAATATTTATAATATGTCAATGTATATTATGATTAAATCAATAACCATATATTATTTTATATTAAGGACGACCGTTACGACTACGATTACCAACAGGCGAGAGAACTGTCTAAAGAAGTGACTGTGTTTCCAGGTGACGAACTAATCACAGAGTGCGTGTATAACACAGTAGATCGTCCGCAGCTAACGCACGTGAGTATAATATTATTAATTATTTGCTTGATTGGTTGTCCGGTACCTTTAACGGCTACTCTACATTCCGATAATATATTATGCTATACCTATAGTATTGTCTTTTGGCAGCACAGCCTTCGGCTACACATGTGGTGTATATATAAATACAAATAAAATTTAAAATAGTCTATATGTAGTGACAGTYGATCAAGAGATCCAGCCTATAACAGACGCAATTATTCATTTTAGTTAATGCGTCATCGCAAATTTACCAAAATATTTATGGTGTTTTACAGGGTGGTTATTCGGCCAAACAAGAGATGTGCTTGGCGTTTGTTACGTAYTATCCGCGCACGCCACTTGCAAGCTGTTTCAGCATGACGCCGGTACCGTTCTTCTTCGAAACGTTTGGCGTCCAACAATTCTTGGACTACAACATGGAGGGTGTGGAGAAAATCTTCTTGAAACTGACCGATAGCACGTAAGCGAAATTGATTTACTATACATATAATAATTTATGACTTTCGTCGTTTCCTGATGCAACCGAGGACATCTAAAATGATAATATCAACAAACTGTTTTAAAAATTAACATATTAATTTGCCTGCATCRACTTACTATTYGCCGATTCACTCGGAGAGAGTGGAAATAGTTTCTAAYGATTTCTCACTTAAAATTATTTTAAGGTGCATTTAGAGTGTTTGGCCACAACGACAACATTTTATAAAGTAACTTYTCCTCTATGGTAAACGGATACTTTGTACTATCTATTGTTTGAGTTTCATATTGCAGACACTTTGTACGGTGAAAATAATTTRTTAAAAAACAATCGCGGACACWTTGTACGGTATAAATAAACCGGGAAATATAGTTTATATAAGATAAAATCAAACTRTTCAAAACTTAAAATCGCGAATCGTGATCGCTACCAGTATGATAAAAGAGTTTGGTGACACRGTACAATATAACATATAATATGACTCAAATAATAAAGAAAAGAAAATTATAACAAATGCAAAATTACTTGAAATAATATGCAATACTTTTAATTTTTTTTAAAAATTCTTCAATAAATTATTATCATAACATTCATAACTATAATTTTTATTTTTATTATTATCATCATTATTATTATTTATATCTGTAAAAGTGTAAAACTGTAAACTGCATGTGTATTATTATTATTACCTGAAATAGTACAATCTGTCCGCCATRTTGACTGTTGTTTCTACCTAAAATAATACAAAGTGTCCTACAACCCCCCTCTATACATAAATACAACCCCACATTCCGTGACATACAGATAACAATGTAATATACGATTTTGAGTAACTTAATTCTTTTTTATCCAGGACTAAAAGTATTACACCTTCTCAGATAACTACGACCACAACAACAGCGATGCCGACGTTAAATAACGCGAAAACGTTGGACGAACTCAATCAGGCGCATATTGCGTATTTAATGAAACCGCCATCGTTCACGATCGATGACGTTGACGAACAAAATCTGTTCAAGGATTTGGAAATCATGGAACCCGTAGAATTCCAGAACAAAACGTTCCAACAGCATTTGGAAAACTTACCGTGGGAAGACAGCCTGTTGACAAAAACCATCGAAAGGCGACTGATCAATGGCAAACACATGACGTTTTGTCGGCTACATAACGACACGTTGGCCTTGGTAGGTTTTGTTTTGACGGCAGTTTTTGTGATGTTCTTTCTATATTTACATTTTATTAGTATCTAACTGCTAGCGCAAAAAAAAAATACATAACCTTGGCTTGGCTAAGTACCTACCTACATCATTATATAGGTATTATTCTATCTCTTGGGTCTGATCTGATGATGGGTCTGGAAAACTTAAACTCGCTCAATTACGCATGCCACACGACAAAATATATTATATGATAGATATAAGTATAGATACTTAAATTGTGTAGGATAGTCGAGTACCTCTTTTAAAATTTATATAAACTCGTATATATTAGAGTAATTATCATTTCTAATTACTTATATCTTAATTAATGAGGTATATTTAAATTTCAGTCACGCACTTTTTTATTCCCGCATTATACCTATTTTTCAAGCACTTCTGCACTGGTTATATTATGACAGTTACCTTCTAGCTTCTGACTATTACATGAAGTAATGTCCATAATATGCATAACTATATTATATTATATTATTATATACTTAGTCAGAATACACAAGGAGAGTACTACCTATACAGTAATACTCAATCATACAATGTTATAAATTTATACCTACCTAATAGATAATGACGACATAAAAATTGTATTTGATATTTTCATGTCATATTTTTTTTTACTAATAATAATCCTATAGAAATCATTATTTAGTTTTCCGGATGTGAAATACATTTAAATTCAAAATTCAGAAATATAAAATATTCACTCAGATGAGAAATTTTGAAAATTGACTTTTCTCATTTCGGTATAACCTACTACTATTTTATTTATTTAGTAAATAGTGATCTAGATACAATTTCTTATTTACGTATAACCACTATAAACTGGTCTAGATAGGTTGTAGGTAAGATGTAGGAAGGTTGTAGGTATAAGTCTCCATGTAAAACGTATTATAAATTATAATTAACACTAAAAGTTTGGAACATTTTCAAACAAAAACTGTTTGGACAAATATAATATATTGCTGTAAAACAATTAATAGTATTATAAAAAGATGCTCTTATTGACTTATAGTACTGATTTTAATTTTAATGATTTACAGATGATGAATACGTACTTGTTTCCAAACTTCACGGCTTACACTGAACCAAAGACCTCAAATGTTGAATGCGTGCCGTTATCGAACAAATTCGAAAATTCTGCCTTGACAGTACAAAGTTCCTACGTATTGATTTTATTATGTATCGCACTGATTTATGTATATTAGGAATTGAAAATTATACCTATACCTATATAAACCTCTCACACACGTGATCCAGCTCATAGATTTAAGTANAAGCACCTAACACAGAAAAATGCACGGGCGATGCAAAACGCGCAAATGAAGCTAATTTATCAAGCTAATGTTTTATAAAAATAGACCTTTTCGGCCGTTCATATTAACAATTGTTCTTAAGTAATTTACTAAAATAATAACAATTTTACTTTTATCAAAGCTGAACATTTAAATTATCCTTGCATGGTTTAATAGATTATTATTGAGTTTAACTTATTAAATGTGTACATCTTCTTAAACACACATTAAATAATAATCAGTTTACGTCAACTTTTATGTTAAAAATTAAAAATTAAGTATATTAAACAATTATACCTACTGATATACATACACGTTTATATGCACTAATCCCAATAGTTTATGATACAAATTTATCATCCACTCTATTAAAATAAGTACCTACTTTTAAAATATATGGTCGCCATACTCTATTATAATTATTATGGGCATAGAAATAATGGTGTTTACTCAAACATAATGGCTACGGACCGGACGTCCCACAGACTAGTCGACAACACACAGTGAAATACAAAATTTTTGTCTAATTTAAAATTCTGATAAACAATTAATGTGAAACAATTCCTCACATGATTATTATAATACATTGCATATCTTGTAGTTCTCCATAGTTTACTCATAAATTGCTGAACTTCTACAACATTTTTTTTAATTACAATTAATTTGATTACCTAATTAATTAAATATATTACACGCGTATCCCTGCAGTTTACTAAACCATAACAATTATAGTAGCCACTAGCTATTATACCTATACAAATAGTGTAGTACTTATATCATTTTCCAAATAGGTATATTTATTTTTGTTATTTATAATTTATAAATTATTGTTCAATTAAAAGAAACTTTTTTGGTTTAATAATAATAATGATGGTACCTCGGTATAGTCCATACCCACATTAAATATGCACAAAGGAGCATAATTACTTATTTCATTTGGTGAATTCGAAAGAATCGTGGGAATTGTTTATATTCAAGTGTAAATAACTAACGTCTATCTAAGACAAATCTATGTAAAGTATACGAAAAAAAAATTATTTAACCAAGATAACAATCAGGGATGCCCTGTAATTTTGTTCACGTGTACTTATCGAAATGCAAATATCTGAACAAATGTATAGCAGGTACTGGCGGTACATTGTATACTAGTATATTTATATTTTCAAATTCTTAACGTTTTATCTGCTATTTATCTATCTTAAATGTAAACCTTAGAAACGATTTATTTAAATGCATTGGATAAAAAAAAWATACAATTTATTATAGTTTTTAGACATTTTTACTACCATAATATTCGATTCCCACTCCCCTGTAGGTTAAATTAATCTTAAGGAAATTTTACGTAAAATACTTTATAAATATTTACTGAAGTAGTAATTAATTTAATGACTTTAATAATATAATTTATAGTGTAGGGATAATTGTTACAAATATAAACAATCAGATTGTTATTAATTATAATACATAGGTACCTGTAACTCTATAAATATTGTATTATTATATTATTATATTTACCAAAAAATGATCAAACCACTTAACTATACACAAATATTGATTAAAGAATTAGATTATTCATAAGAATCTRGCCTAGTTCTATAATGCAAATAACTGCTGTTTGAGTTTTAATTAATTAATCTTGAATGAAATGGTGAAGAATATTTATAGAAATGTGTGTTTATAGACTGATACCATGCGCATGTTTTGGACCATGAGTGACCGAGATCCAATCGACAGACAATATACTGATGCATTGAAATTGGGTAGCTCGTGGAAGGGCACTCAAAGTTTCCATCCGAAAGGCTCGAAGTTCAAACCGAACACGGATTACTACAAGAGATGGGATGTCACCATGGATAACGTAATCTAACGAACATAATATAACTAATTACATACTGTGATGCTGTTAAATTGTATTAAATTGTATTTTTTTTTTTTGTAAACATTTTAGCTACGCATAAAAGACGACGTTGACACTTTGTACTGGTGCAAAATTTTCAGAGCTCCAAAGATCTTTAAAAAAAACCATATTGTAGGGGTGAGTTAACAAGATTATAAGATAATAATAACATTACTCGGAGTAAGTCGATAAAACCAAATTTTACGGGAGAAGTGAAAAACAGTTTTAAATTGGTATTGATAATATACTTACCAGTTTTGACTTTTGTGTATTAACTTATGAAAATACAGGAAACAATTATTATGATATGATATCAAAATGCAAAAAAAAGTGCAAATGCATAAAAAAAAAATTTTTTTTGAAAATTTCCATTTACCAGATTTTTCAGTGTAAGCGAAGCTCATTTTCAGCGATGAGGAAGAATGGACTTCGAAATTCTATAATTTAAGATAGATTTATCAAGAATTCATATTGAATGGGATTTTCCGAATAAGTAATCCAACGAACTAATTTTGGGTAGATTTCCAATTTCAAATCGATGGTTACAAATTATAGTTATAATATAATAYATTATATATTATAATTAGCTAAATKATATTTGTTTTGTAAAAATATTTTAATTTTAGTAATAGATGTATTATAATATATTAAATGTAAGGAAGTGGGTGAGAAAAATATGATATTGCTATTTGAACGGGTGTTGTTGGGTCGTGGGGGACAATCCCCCCACGGGTCTGTTTCATTTAAATATATGTTATGTCCCTCCAAATTAAAAACTTAAATCGCGCTTATGCATATAACAATGTTATGAAATACGATTTTTGCTAATTTCTGCAGTTTGTGCCTTTACTGAACGACGACACTAAGCGACTTGTTCACCATATGCTCCTCTACGAGTGCTACGGCGGCCCGGACATAATGGAACAGTATGTTACATTAAAGGGCGCCCAGTGTTACGGGCAGGGCATGCCAGACGACTGGAACAAGTGTGTGTCGCCAGTGGTCACATGGGCGATGGGYTCAGATGGGCAGTTTTTGCCRGATCACATTGGCGTACCGATTGAAGGTCGTGAAGTGTACTACATGTTGGAAGTGCACTACGACAATCCCACGCTGAAAAAAGGTACGATGACATAAATATTATTATTAGGAACTTGGTATAGTTGTTCGAAAAATGATAAGAGCCTCGAGTACGATAATTCTTAAATTTTGCTATTACCAACATAATTTTATTTTTTTTAAATAGTAATTAATTTAACATTTTAAACATGTGCTGCACTGAGTGATTCATTAGATTTATATTAGCTCGATAAGTTAAAAGTTAATATGGAAAAAAATATCAACTGAACTCAGTTTAAAAAAAGTTAATCTTTTTTTTAATTGGTATGTAAATCACATAAAGAGTGAATGTGTCTTCCTAGTTTGTAATTTATAAATTATAAAAAACAATTTTATTGAACTTTCATTTCGAATAGTTTACTGGGAACAGGTGGATTTTTCCACCCCGTAATTTTGCATATAAGTTATTAGGTAGATATTGAACACGTGACTACGTGAGTTTTTTTCAGTAAAAGTTCGCTTCAACTCGAAACCGGACACAAAATATGTCTTAAGGGTTTCAAAAGTAGTAACAAATGTCCTCGAATAAAATTGTTTTGGAAAACTACGAAAAGCTAAACATTAATTATGAAATATAATAACATGTTTGGATATTATTTTAGTATATTACCTATGTTATTYGAACAAGGATTTGTATAGAAAAACAGAATAATGTACTTTTGTTAAAATGTTAAAGCGATAGTCGTCGCGTTTAACAAGCCTAAATTTTAGCTTTCGTGTACCATGATGGTGTACTATGTATTTTAGTCTTGTAATATCACCTGTTGTCGTCATTAGTATAATAATAATATAATATTATGATATTTTAGTAATGGACAACTCGGGCGTTAGGGTGTACTACACTGAGTTTTTGCGGCCCAACGATGCGGGAATCATGGCTGTGGGCATGGCTGTGTCGCCGATGCACATCGTACCGCCCAAGCAGCTTGCTTACAGGACGGCCAGTCTATGTGACAAGGACTGCACAAACGTCATATTCCCGGAAAGAGGCATCAAAATTACGTCCGTCCTCTTGCATGCCCACCTCGCATCCAGGCAGCTCAAGTTGAGGCACGTTCGGCACGACCAGGAGATGGCTATCATTGCACAGGTATCTTATCAGTAATTACTATAGTTTATAAGCATTATTACTATTACTGTACTAGGTAAGAAGCCATATAAATATCATAGTTGTCTGGATATCCAAATCAGGATGTTCCAACCAGAACAGTAATATTATATCACCTATATAATTATGTTTAGTATATACGTATACAGTAGACACTTCCAATTATTTTTAAAAATAAACGATGGTCTTAATCAGATAACCCATTGAACTTTATTAAAAAAAACTGTTAAGTACAATAATCACATAATAATTATTGGTTTCCTTTTAACAAATTATTACAAAATTTTTTTTATGAACGTATAGTAAAAATTATTTTCCGATAGATGATTTTATTATTTATTACTTTCAGTCCTATATCATATTATATATTATACAAATTTAATATGCTAATATTTCGTAGTTTCCGTGAATTTTACGTTTGTGTCCATTTTAATATTTATAATATGTCAATGTATATTATGATTAAATCAATAACCATATATTATTTTATATTAAGGACGACCGTTACGACTACGATTACCAACAGGCGAGAGAACTGTCTAAAGAAGTGACTGTGTTTCCAGGTGACGAACTAATCACAGAGTGCGTGTATAACACAGTAGATCGTCCGCAGCTAACGCACGTGAGTATAATATTATTAATTATTTGCTTGATTGGTTGTCCGGTACCTTTAACGGCTACTCTACATTCCGATAATATATTATGCTATACCTATAGTATTGTCTTTTGGCAGCACAGCCTTCGGCTACACATGTGGTGTATATATAAATACAAATAAAATTTAAAATAGTCTATATGTAGTGACAGTYGATCAAGAGATCCAGCCTATAACAGACGCAATTATTCATTTTAGTTAATGCGTCATCGCAAATTTACCAAAATATTTATGGTGTTTTACAGGGTGGTTATTCGGCCAAACAAGAGATGTGCTTGGCGTTTGTTACGTAYTATCCGCGCACGCCACTTGCAAGCTGTTTCAGCATGACGCCGGTACCGTTCTTCTTCGAAACGTTTGGCGTCCAACAATTCTTGGACTACAACATGGAGGGTGTGGAGAAAATCTTCTTGAAACTGACCGATAGCACGTAAGCGAAATTGATTTACTATACATATAATAATTTATGACTTTCGTCGTTTCCTGATGCAACCGAGGACATCTAAAATGATAATATCAACAAACTGTTTTAAAAATTAACATATTAATTTGCCTGCATCRACTTACTATTYGCCGATTCACTCGGAGAGAGTGGAAATAGTTTCTAAYGATTTCTCACTTAAAATTATTTTAAGGTGCATTTAGAGTGTTTGGCCACAACGACAACATTTTATAAAGTAACTTYTCCTCTATGGTAAACGGATACTTTGTACTATCTATTGTTTGAGTTTCATATTGCAGACACTTTGTACGGTGAAAATAATTTRTTAAAAAACAATCGCGGACACWTTGTACGGTATAAATAAACCGGGAAATATAGTTTATATAAGATAAAATCAAACTRTTCAAAACTTAAAATCGCGAATCGTGATCGCTACCAGTATGATAAAAGAGTTTGGTGACACRGTACAATATAACATATAATATGACTCAAATAATAAAGAAAAGAAAATTATAACAAATGCAAAATTACTTGAAATAATATGCAATACTTTTAATTTTTTTTAAAAATTCTTCAATAAATTATTATCATAACATTCATAACTATAATTTTTATTTTTATTATTATCATCATTATTATTATTTATATCTGTAAAAGTGTAAAACTGTAAACTGCATGTGTATTATTATTATTACCTGAAATAGTACAATCTGTCCGCCATRTTGACTGTTGTTTCTACCTAAAATAATACAAAGTGTCCTACAACCCCCCTCTATACATAAATACAACCCCACATTCCGTGACATACAGATAACAATGTAATATACGATTTTGAGTAACTTAATTCTTTTTTATCCAGGACTAAAAGTATTACACCTTCTCAGATAACTACGACCACAACAACAGCGATGCCGACGTTAAATAACGCGAAAACGTTGGACGAACTCAATCAGGCGCATATTGCGTATTTAATGAAACCGCCATCGTTCACGATCGATGACGTTGACGAACAAAATCTGTTCAAGGATTTGGAAATCATGGAACCCGTAGAATTCCAGAACAAAACGTTCCAACAGCATTTGGAAAACTTACCGTGGGAAGACAGCCTGTTGACAAAAACCATCGAAAGGCGACTGATCAATGGCAAACACATGACGTTTTGTCGGCTACATAACGACACGTTGGCCTTGGTAGGTTTTGTTTTGACGGCAGTTTTTGTGATGTTCTTTCTATATTTACATTTTATTAGTACCTAACTGCTAGCGCAAAAAAAATACATAACCTTGGCTTGGCTAAGTACCTACCTACATCATTATATAGGTATTATTCTATCTCTTGGGTCTGATCTGATGATGGGTCTGGAAAACTTAAACTCGCTCAATTACGCATGCCACACGACAAAATATATTATATGATAGATATAAGTATAGATACTTAAATTGTGTAGGATAGTCGAGTACCTCTTTTAAAATTTATATAAACTCGTATATATTAGAGTAATTRTCATTTCTAATTACTTATATCTTAATTAATGAGGTATATTTAAATTTCAGTCACGCACTTTTTTATTCCCGCATTATACCTATTTTTCAAGCACTTCTGCACTGGTTATATTATGACAGTTACCTTCTAGCTTCTGACTATTACATGAAGTAATGTCCATAATATGCATAACTATATTATATTATATTATTATATACTTAGTCAGAATACACAAGGAGAGTACTACCTATACAGTAATACTCAATCATACAATGTTATAAATTTATACCTACCTAATAGATAATGACGACATAAAAATTGTATTTGATATTTTCATGTCATATTTTTTTTTACTAATAATAATCCTATAGAAATCATTATTTAGTTTTCCGGATGTGAAATACATTTAAATTCAAAATTCAGAAATATAAAATATTCACTCAGATGAGAAATTTTGAAAATTGACTTTTCTCATTTCGGTATAACCTACTACTATTTTATTTATTTAGTAAATAGTGATCTAGATACAATTTCTTATTTACGTATAACCACTATAAACTGGTCTAGATAGGTTGTAGGTAAGATGTAGGAAGGTTGTAGGTATAAGTCTCCATGTAAAACGTATTATAAATTATAATTAACACTAAAAGTTTGGAACATTTTCAAACAAAAACTGTTTGGACAAATATAATATATTGCTGTAAAACAATTAATAGTATTATAAAAAGATGCTCTTATTGACTTATAGTACTGATTTTAATTTTAATGATTTACAGATGATGAATACGTACTTGTTTCCAAACTTCACGGCTTACACTGAACCAAAGACCTCAAATGTTGAATGCGTGCCGTTATCGAACAAATTCGAAAATTCTGCCTTGACAGTACAAAGTTCCTACGTATTGATTTTATTATGTATCGCACTGATTTATGTATATTAGGAATTGAAAATTATACCTATACCTATATAAACCTCTCACACACGTGATCCAGCTCATAGATTTAAGTACATTTTACCAAAGTCACATTTTTGTTTATATTTTGTAATTTTTTTTTTTTTTATTAATAAACGTATAATTTTGAATTTTGTAAATAACAAGGTGTTTGTTTCTCGATACAATGGTTTCCACAACTCCTAATTCATTAATTWACTAATTAATAAACTAAAGCATTGTGGAATTGTGATACATTAATTGCATTAATACAATAGTACCAAATCGGTAATCATACAATTCACAGGCTTACAAAAAATTCTTCTTGACATAGCCTTTTTTATCTCAAATTCTACAAATTCAAAGTTTCTTCTTTAGAAAATTACTCATATTAACTAGAAATTAAAAAGAATAATTTTTTTAAGAGTTTTGATCTTGAAATAGTGTTAAATATAAATGGAAATTTTATTCAAACATGTGAAGCAAGTTGCTTAACCAATTACTGTAGATTTTACATAAATTATTTGTACATCATAACTTATATTTTATCTTAATTCATATTTATTATAGCTTAAAAACATATTTTTAAATTAAATAATAAAGAAACTGTACTTACGTATTTAAATCATCCAGACATTTTAGCTTTTACAATTTTTGGTATATTTCTATGGATTTTTTTAATTTTTCCACATATTTTACCAATTGCGAAACTTCTAAACTTCTTATAGGCTATAAGCAATAAACATATCTACATAAAATAAATATATTGTAAAATGAAATTAAAAGGTATCTTGTATACCTATAATCTATATAAATTTTTACTATAATTATTTGATATACCTAAGTACTAGAAAAACCCAAGCTACACTAATACTGACTAAAACAGTATTACATTTAAATATTTGTCTTTWCGTATTATATAATATATTTGAAATGATTACCAATATAAAATAATTTAAAGAAAAGATACCTAGTTTTCTATATATTTTTTTTAAATATAAAAAGTATGGTTTAGAACCTAAAAAAACTAAAATGATATAAAAATAATTAATATACTACGCGTAAAATAGACAATTATAAATATATTTGTCTATATGTATATTAATATTAATCTTAGGTAATTAAACAAATACATTATTGCCTTATTGGTATGAGAAATAATATATGTATATTGATGTGTACTTTTATCAGGTGTATTGTTTATATTTAATTGATTAGGTTGAAATATCAAGAAGCRCTGATTAATGAAAAATTATAATAAAATAAAAACACCACTTAGGTACAGTTAATATTATTAAATATTTAACTATCAATTTTTTTAGTCTTAAGTATTATCGATTAATACTTCATAACAAATAACATTTTAACTAACCCATCAATAGGCAATAGCTAAAAACAACTATTTAGTCAATAATATTTCATATTCGACAACAGTGTATAGCTTTATCWATGATACACAAACTTTAAAAATGTAGAATGAATCCCAATAATAAACTGTTACATAACAATAATGTTTTATAATATTAATACATATTTTTTATTATAATTACATAAGTTAAAATGTGTTAATTTATCCAACCAAATGATTAAAGTTTTTTTTTATAATTTTMAATCAGCTTGAGATTATTTGTCGTAGTTTGCCTTTTAAAAGTACAGGTAATATTAAATGTTAAGGATTTAATTTTAAATAATATACAGGAAATCAGTCAATGCATAGAATATAAAATCACCACAATATGAGTATATTATATTAATGTCTATAATATTATTTATTATTCAAACAACTTAAGCGGATATATAGCGGCAAATGTAAGCCGGATATTATCATCTTAGAACATAGACATTAGACATCGTATACAATTGCATTCGAAAGTACCTATACAAAATAAAATTATAACACTCATGCTTGCCGTTTAATAGTTTGAATGACGTGTGTACAACAATCAACTTGTTGAGAAATTTCTCAACGTTTCCACTTTAAAATTAGTTAAAGGTGGCATTTAAATCAAATAAACATTGTTATTCAGCTAAAATTTTAAATTTTAATATTTATTACCTCTAGTCTTTGCACCTGCAATGGTTATATAGCTACCATTTTTATGGTTTTATAGATGCGTTATAGTATATTAATATAAAAATAACCATAGCACGTTACTTAAATATCTTCGAATCATAATTAATATGTATTTTACAATATGTAACTATGACAATACGAAAACCTCCCAAAAAATTGGTCAGAAGCATTTTACCATGGATCCAGTCCAAAAACATATTTATATTGATAAAAATAAATATAATACAATACTATGATAATACTAACATTTCTATTATTTTACTTGATGAGGTAATTGTGTATACAGACATTTTAGTAAATTAAATGGCTGAGGTATTAACTATTAATATTATATGGCCTTAAATTACTATTTGATATAAAAATTTATATTTGTTAAATTGTTAATTGATATATGTATGGTTTAAATATTTAATCTAAGTTCAATAAAACTRATTATTATAATAAAGTTTAGGAAATTAGAAAGTATTCAATTATTTTTCATGTAATCCCCATAATATACTACCTAATTCCAAAAAAAAAACTTTTTTTAAACTGAGTACCTAATTAAGTGAATAAGTTTTGTCCATATTAAATTTTAACTTATCTAATTATTAAATGTATGGTTTTTTTAATTGTTAACTTATACTAACTTATCGATTTTATGTTTAATTAACTTAACTTCAATATGAAAATATTGAAAATTAGGTA